TAGAAGTCAAGTTCATTAGAAGCCTTTTAAGGCCTGCAGGGCCTGGGGGAGGAAGGTTACTCTTTGGAAGCCAAGCCAAACAAAGCAAAGTGATTCTTACCAGAGAAAAGATATGATAGTTTCCGAGCATCTACAAGAGTCACCGACAGTTCTCCCACAAAATCTTTGTTTTTCTCTTCTTGTATTTCTCCTGATTCAAAATCATTTGTAACAGGGCCTGATTCAAAATCATTCACAACAGGACCAACAGCTTTTCCTTTTTGGAAATCCAGAACAATCTTCTTTGGACGAACAAATAACCGAGGCAAATCCTCAGTTAGCAGTTTTGTCAAAAACCTGGGAAGATGCAGTTGTACTCCCGGTCAGCAAAGGCAAGTTTGGATGGTTATTTAGTGCAGGAGAGGAATTAAACTAAAAAAACTTATCAGAATGAAAAATGCCAGAGAAGCATGCCATTTATCTTTTTTCTTATTGTTACAGGTGAAAACTTAATAGTTAAAGGTCTTGCAGCAGCAGCAACAATAATGAGAGCAACCATTAGAAGTGCTAATTCACATTAGTAAATACTGAGCCAGTGACTTTAATTTAGGCTTAGGCAGTCAACTCCATTCATGACTTAAAAGGGACAATTAAAGAACTGAACAATATCAACTCTGGCATGGGATACCATACAGAAGGAACAAGAATGGGAGTCCTTCACTCTCCATAACACAAAATGAGATATAATGTTGGACTGACTCAGAATCTCGAATCTAAAATCAAACAGCCAATCTGAAATACAAAATAAACCTTGCCAATTGATCTATAGAACTGTTAATGACAGTGTCAAACCAGCCCTTATGGCTTGGTAGTTCATGGCCCAAGCTTAAGGCTTGATAGCTATTTGGTCTTGATATCTACTCAACAACACCCTTATGCGGAAGGAGTGTTTTTGCTTGTGGTTGCTCCCCCACTCGTAAAAGTTTCCCTTGTTCAAAAAGGAAAAAATTCCCACTGCCATTGTCTACTCCAAACTTACCAGGTTACCTGGCAAATTGGTGCTACTGTAAATGAAACTCGTATATAACTCTTTCATCTTAGAATCATTAAAGAAATTTGATTTTAATCTTCAAACCAATAAAGAATGATTTAAAGAGAATTTACAAGAAAATATGAGCAGCTTGCATTGATTAAGCCAGCTAAGAGGAAAATGTACTTACTTTGAGAGAACAGGAATAGCTGGTGTTGCCCAGTTCATGCATATAAAAAGAGAGAAGCACAAATCAGCATCCACAACGATTTTAAAACATAATAAAACAAATTCTAATGATACAAAAAATCTTAAGACAAGTGAATTGAATAGTCTCAAGAGAGAAGAAAAGTTCAATGAACATCATCTAAGATCAAAATTGTTCATCAGATTGATTTGTTGCAGATTTTAGGGGTAAAGCCAGATTGTCTTCACTCAGCCTTATTCCAAAAACCAAGTGAAAGAAGATAAATTAATCAATAAGGAAACACTCTACAACCATTTGGGCCAACAAATATCACCCTCCTAAATTCTTGTAGTGCTCTTTTTATCAATATTACCTCCTACCTACAGATATGCATGCATGCATGCACATGTATACACGGTGCTTCTTTACTAAAGAGAGAATAGAAAATTCATGTTTTCAACAAACTAACAAATGTAATCTCTTGAATGTCAAGAATTGTACTTACCCATAAGATTAAACAATCGAAATGGTGACAATTCAAACTTGATCTTTGGAAGTGAAACAAAAGCCCATGAAACAGCCCCAACCCAGGGTTCTGTTGGTATTAGTCTCAATTTGACCCAAAGTTCTCCATCAATGTCAAAATCTCGAACACCAACAGGCACCATAATCGGAAGGATGCCAAAGTTCAGCGAGAGCATTAAAAGCATGCGTCCACCACCAGTATAACGAAGCCCTATTTGGTACCTATATCAAAGGAAATGGAAATCTGCTAAATATGAAATACTACCAAATACAACCAATAAATAGCAGTAATCCAAAGAACAAAAGCAAAATACAATAGGGTGAAGCTAACTTACTGCAAATCATTGACACCACGAGAAGTTCTGCGCTCAACATTCCTAACAATTAAAGGCTCATCCCCTAGGGAGAACTGCTTTATTTCAACCCTCTGTACATAATCAGGCTTCTTCAGATCATCAATAACAGGCTGCAACAATCCAATAATCCAATTCTCAATTCCTGCTCTATACACCTTCCACAACTTCCCCAACACCATGTTCACCCACTCCACCGACTCTTTCCTCTGCAAATCTCTTTCCAAGAACAAGGAGAAGCTTGTGGGCACTTGCGGCCACGCTCCTCCTCCTTTTCGTAGTACATCTTCGCCGCCCATTTTGCTCCTCCTCTTTCTTGAGGTCCATATCTTATCAAAAGCGACTCCAACAAAGAAGAAGAACACGAATAACCCCGCTATGTTTCGATTAATGGGAGGCGAGGGAATTGGGTGTATCACTCCCAACTGAGTCCTTAACTTGCCTACAATTGGATCTTCCTGAAAATTGGTAAAATTTGACCCCATTTGGATCGACGGTTCCTGGGACAATTCCTCCCCATTCGAAAACTCGTCGGAAAAGCCTTTAGCTACAAAATTCTTAGCACCACGTCTCGCAGAACTAACAAATTCTATACTCAATTTATGATTCGAAGCATCGGAACGAATTGAACTAGCAAGTAAACCAAACCTCTTTCTAAAACCTCGGTAAGAAAAATTGGTGATGGGCTTTTTCCTCTTCCTCCTCCTGGAGTTATGAGCAGTAATTGATGCCAGATTACTACATGGGCAGAGCTGGGGAGAAGCAACAGGATGCGAGAAGGTGAAACTCACAGAAGGATACTGCAAAATCATTTATGGGCAAGGATGGTTTCAATGCCCCAATCTCAACAAGGGCCAAAAACCAGTGATCCTGGGCGATAAACATGAATCACGAAAGCAATTCTATATTCTATATCAAGTAAAGGCTATAGAAATTGGCAAAGACCTGACGGACCCAGATGGGTTTCGATGCAGAAAATTGGAAAAAGGAAGTTAAGGGTCGGAATTAGACCGCGGATGGTTGACGGAGAGAAAGAGGAAGTGGTCGGCAGTTGAGAAAGTGGCGGCGCATTTGTGAACGGGGGAAGGTGGGAGATGGACGGAAAGGAAGGGAGAAAAGTAGGAAAAATGGTGGGGGGCAAGGAGCAGACGTTTTTGTGATTTGACAGAAATTGGAGGCCTCAAATGACAGTTACGTGGAAGATACAAAAATTACATGGTTTTAATTTGGAGATTTTGATTTTGCAATGATGGGCATGTGGGTCGGAGGTTGGGGTTTTTCCTTTCTCTACTTTTGTTGTTTTCTTTT